TCTGTTTGGCGGCCTCCAGCGCCCTCGGGAGCCGTGCCGGGGGCGCCCCAGAGGCCCCGGTACCCCCCTGCGCCGTCGAGGTCGCGGTCCCGGGCCCCCGGTCCTCGTCCCCCGGTATATATCGATATCTATACATACATAATAAGTATGTGTATATGTATGCATGCATGCATGCATGCATGCATGTATGTATGCATGCATGCATGAATGCATGTATGTATGCATATATGTATATATGTATAGATACGCATATGTGTACATGGTTGGATAGATAGATCATGAGTCTGATCCGACGCTAATCGCAATGCGAAGCCTGCGCAGATCCCAGGAGGCCCCCACGAGGCCCCTCAGAAGCCACCCGGAGGCTCCAAGCAAACCCCCAGGAAGACACATGACGGCCTCAAGAGGCCTCCTTCTCCTCCTTCGCGTCCTCCTCCTACTCCTCGTTTCCTCCTTCTCCTCGCTTCCTCCTTCTCCTTCGTTTCCTCCTTCGCTTCCTCCTTCTCCTCGCTTCCTCCTCCTACTCCTTCTCCCTCTACTCACCCTCCTCAGTATCCCTCCTTTCATCGTCCTTTCTCTTGTTCTCCCAAGTGTCCCCTCATAGGGGCTGCACAGCGCCTGGGGGAGCACATCGTCCAATATTTCGGCCAGCCTTTGGCCAAGCATATTGGACGCCTGGACGTTTCCAAAGGGCAGAGGGCGGCGGTGGATCGCCGTGAGCGTCTTCGATGACTTCGAGCCTCGTAGAATGGACAGGCACCCTTTTGGCAACGATGACAGCGAAGGAGGACAATAAGGAGGACGATGAAAAGGGGAAGGGGGAAGAGGGCGACAAGGACAATCATAACGAGGCGAAGAAAAACAAAGGAGGGAGGGATGATGAGCAGGCGGGAAAGGCAGAGGCGGGAGCGGAAAATGGGGCGGCAATTGCGGAGGCGGCCGAAACCTCTGCGTCGAACGACGCCGCCTCCGCAAATTCCGCTCCATTTTGTTCTTGCGCGCCGTACTTCGTGGTGTTTTTCGCGACGTCCGCGCTGGCTCTTCGCGTCACGTGGGAGGATGCCAGCCGCGCGCAGCTGCACGCGAGAGAGTACTCGCGTGCACGCGCGCACGCATGCGCGGCCGCCCGGGCGAAAACGGGCGCGAAAGAGGACATCAACTCCACTGCACACACGCACGCACATAGACACACATAGAGGAACAAAAAGTGGCATAAACATAAAAACTCGGAGGTCCGCGCGGATTTCTCGCACCCCCTGGTGCGCGGAGCGCTCCAGGAGCGGCGCCGGAGGCGCCGCTGGGGGTCCCCGGCGCCGATCTGAGGAATCCGCGCGGAACTCCGAGCTTTTATGCTTATGCCACTTTTTGTTCCCCTACACACATGGACACATTTTTTTGGTCTGCGGGTCGAGAGCGGGCCCCTTCCGGTTAAGAGCTGGGCGGGGCGCGCGAAGCCCCAATTGGGGAGACGGGGCGCGGGCGGGCGGGGCCGCAGGCGGCCGGAGGGTGCAGAGTACAGGCGGTGCCGAAGATCTTGCACAGGACAAGGTACGCCATGGACTGGAGCAGGGGGCGAGGTCCCATGGGGGAGAGTGGATTGGTGTTGCCGTCGTCGGCGCGCCAAGAACACCATCCTCGAGTGCTGCGTGAGGAGGCCGTGAGCAAGTCAACGTCCGCGAGGTAGATACAGACACACACACACACACACACACACACACACACACACACATATATATATATATAAATATATATATATATATAGACACACTTTGGCGGTCGCGGCCTCGCGCAGCATCGAGGCGGCTGAGAAGGTCGGAGCATCGGTGCGCGCGCGCGGCCGGGCCCCCGGGCGGCACCGCGTTGAGAATCGCACGCGTAGATGCCCACGGCAGCAGGCCACTCGGGCGTGGACGGCGGGGAGGCGGCACGCCGCCCGGCGCCGGAGCTCTCGAGCAGGGGCCGCATATAGCGCGAGAGCGTGGATCTGAAGGGGCCCTGGGACACACCAAAAAACACACGCAGATGAAAAGATTCCCCATATTTTCTCGTCTTTTCTGGGTTTCTGTCTTCCCCCCCACTGCCCATATTTTCCCAGATTGTCTGGGAGTCGACGATTCCTTGTGTCTGTGTGTTTGTCCTCCTCCTGAAGATCGGGCGTTGGCAAAACTGGGTTGATGGGAACCTGGTTGAAAGATCTGTACCGGGGGCGCCCCCCCGCCCCATCTCCACGAACCGGAACTGCCGTCGCCCGAGAAACACCAGTGACGGCAAACCTGGCTCAGTGAACCTGGCCAATTGAGGGGCTCCAGGGCCCTGCCACTAACCGGGTCCCCTTACCCGGGGTCCTGAGGAGGAGGAGGAGGAGGAGGAGGAGGAGGAGGAGGAGGAGGAGGAGGAGGAGGAGGAGGAGGAGGAGAGGGAGGAGGAGGAGGAGGAGGACCATACCCGAGTGGAGGGGGGGCATGTCACCATGCAGGCGCGGACGGCGGAGGGGCGACGCGCCGCCCGACGCTGGAGCTCCTCGGCGGGAACGCGGCACGAGGGTGTGGAAGGGGGGAGCACACCTGCCGAGCGACGGTGGTAGAGTGAAGTCGGGCGTGTCCCCCTACGGGGGGATTTTCGACGAAAAATAATAATAATAATAATAATAATAATAATAAAAGGTCAAACCATACTTAAAAAGTAGTCCCCAGACTATGTGAAGAGTATTTTTGGACTCGTTTGGGGGTATTTCTTATCTTTCGTCGAAACTCCCCCTCTAGGGGGACAGGTCCGACTTAATGGTAGAATACTCAATGGTGACACGCTGCACAGTGCGCGAGGTCTGAAAGTCCCTGCGGGGAATGACTTAACGGGCGAAGAACGGTATAAAATAAACTTTTTCGCCGTCGGGGGCGCCTGTCCTGGGCGGCTGGAAAGTTTATACCCCTGCGGTGCCACCGTAAGGGTATAAACTTTCCAGCCGCCCTGGGACAGGCGCCCCCGACAGCGAAAAAGCCTATTTTATACCGTTCTTCGCCCGTTGAATGACAGACAGACACACACACACACACACCGCCGAGGCGAGCGGCGCCCGGCGTGGGCCCGGGCCGGCGGAGGGAAGGGGAGGCACAGTCAAAAAATCCACAGTGAGGATGCAGGGCAAGGGTGCAAGACCCTTGGAAATCCCATTTACCATTGAGAGATCCCTGGACGTCAACATTGGCTCAGGATGGGCCGAAGAAGTAGGGATGCAAAGGCAACCTTGATGAAGCAGCGCGTCCTTACTATGGGATTTTGGATGTGATCAGGGCGCGCAAGCCGCTGCTACCACTTCGCATTCAGCCGTGCACTGGAGAAATCAAAAGGTACCGATACCGCTAATTACTCCACGGACCGCTGCCAGGGTGCGGTCTGACCAGAATTTCGAGGCGAATGCGGCGGTGGCGACGAGGGCCTCCGAGGCCGAAAAGAGGGGAAAAAACCGGGGAAGGGCATTGGTACCTGTTCCTCCTCTAAAATGATGTGTTGGACCAACATGGCCCCAACTTTCCCCACCAGTCCGCGGCGGTCTTCGGCGGCCTCCGGAGCGTCTTCGGCGGGCCTCCAGCGAGCCTGCCGCGGTCGTCCCGCAGCACTCGGCGGCCCTCTTTTGTTGCGAAAACGCCATGGCTACGCTCAACGCTGGGGCCAATGGTCCAACACGCAAGGACTGGACGCGAGGCGGAGCAAGGGAAAAACAGCAACCAGCGACATGTACGCGACGATCAAAAACGTGTCTTGCGCGAGATGCCATCGTGCCCTTCTGCGGCGGCTGACGCGGGCTGCCAGCGCTGCCCGCCGGCCTTGGAGACGAAGGCGCTTACGCGCGACCTTGAGCGGGCAGCTTACGCGCCAGTGCCGGTGAAGACGACCATGTTTTCTGCCGTCGCTCAAGTGTGGGCGGCGCCAACCGTGCGCCGCACCAGCTTCCCACGAGCTGCCGCGGGTGCCAGCACGCGCGGAAGCGTGCATCGAACTGGCCTCGCACATGGATGGCGTCGTCCAGCACATGCCAACCTCGTGGTCCCGCGGGGCGCCCCGCCGGCCCGTGCCGTTGAGCTCGCGAGCGTCAGAGCTCGGAGGCAGAGCGAGCCCCCGCCTGCAGCAGCGCCTCGACCACCTCCTCCGGGGCTCCAGCCTTCCGCGCCGCGTCCAGTGGCGTCTCCCTCTCGAGGCCCCCAGGGTGCTCGTGTTCTGCGGCAGCGTTCGCGTCGGCGCGGGCCGCGAGCAGCTCGCGGACGCACTCGAGGTCCGATGACCCTCAGAACGTGTGTTAGCCCCAACGTGCTTGTCCATCGAGGCCCTTCGATACGACGCAGGCGGTGTAATGATCTGCTGGTTGGACTGAATGGGGGTACAGTCGGGGCGTTGACCTAAGGAACCCTAAATAAGGAACGGGGCCCCTTTCTCCCATAAGTTGAACTTCGATTTCCCATGGAAAACCTCAGGAAAACAGAAGGCAAACTGTCGAACAATCAAGGAACACCGAGCCCCTCCCCAACGAAAAGGGTTCCTTCTTCAGGGCCCTGGCTGTAACACGCACAGTGGGCCAACACACGTCCTGAGGATCATCGAGAGGTCCCCGTTGTGGGCCGCCCACGACAGCGGCGAGGCGCCGCTGGAGTCTGGCGCGCGAGGGTCCGCCCGGTGCTGCAGCAGCGCCCGCAGCGACTCCACGCTGCCACGCTGGGCCGCCACAAGCAGGGGCGTGCAGCCCGTCGCGTCGGGCCCGTCGGTGCTGGCGCCCTTCTCCAGGAGCATCTCCAGGAGCTCCACGTAGTCCTGCATCAGGGCTGGCCCGAAACGTTGCTTGTCGCTTTGTGCTCGTCCTGTCTTCCCTTTTCCCCTGCCTAATTACTTCCCCGGCACCCTCCCTGCCAAAACAGATAAAAAAAAAGAAAAAAAAAAAAAAAAAAAAAAACTCTTGAGTCCAGCAAAGCAGCGCTCGAGACCAGCCCTGGGTCCTGCATCGCGGCCACGTGCGCCGGCCTCAGGCCGTCGCCGTTGGCCAGGTCGGGGCTCGCCCCGCTCTCGAGCAGCAGGTCGAGCGTCTCCGCGTGGCCGAACTGGACCGCGGCGTAGCAGGGCGTGATGCCCTCGGAGTTGGCGCGGTCCGGGTCGGCGCCGGCCTCCAGCAGCACCTCGAGGGCCGCAGCGCTGTCCTGGGCGGCCGCGGCGTAGACTGCCGTGGAGCCGTCGGCTTTGGCACAGTCCACGTCCGCTCGGTGCGCCAGGAGCGTTCGTACCGACTCGACGTGGTTGTGCGCCGCGGCGATCCACAAAGGAGCCTCCCCTGCAGTGTTCTTGTGGTCAATGACCGATTTGTCGTCGAGCACATTCGCGAGGATGTCCTCAAGGCAGGTCTCGTCGTCATGACGGGCTGCCTCGCACAAGGCCCTGGGAGCGAAGATGCGTCGAATCTTGAGGTTTACCTCGTCGTAGCTGGTCTGGCCGACGATCAGCCTTAGTATATTTCGCTTATCCTCTGGGTTGGAGGCTTCTGCCTGAGTGATGTCCACCTTGCAGCCGAAGAGCGCCACAGATGGGAACCATGCTCCTTCCACCTCAGCGTGGTCCATCCAATTGTTAGTCCCGTCGTCTTTCAGCAGCGCGGCGCAGCGCGGGATCCGACGCTCCTTCCTGCTCAGAACGAGATTCGTCGACGTGCCGCGCGACAAGACTCGGCGCCCTGCAGACTCTGGCTCCTCGTGCTCTACGCTTTGCTGCACCTGCGTGCCATCGTGCACGATTGCCGCCACATCCAGCAAATGCGCAGTCTGCTTCTTGTGCAGCTCGGGGCTGATGCTCACGAATGCCTCGAGCGCACACCACACTCGCTTGAAAGGGGTCGCCGTCTGATTCATGAGCATAACAGTGCCCAGGCACGAGGGGCACACCAGGGCGCGCACGAAAGGCGTCTGCATCAGGTCGGCGTCGTTGAGCTCCGCCAGGTTGTGCTGGTTGTTGGCGAAGGTGCACATCCAGTAGGCAGTCGTCAGGGGGGTGTTGTGCACGGCGGCATGGTACTGCAGCATAGACAGGCTGTCTTGGAAGGGCGTGCCCCACCAGTGCGAGATGAACCACTGCGGCTCCTGCGGCCCGAGAGCGATGAGGTCTACGAGGGAGCACTGCTCGGCCTTTGTGAGGGGCATCACGAACAGGTCGTTGATGTGGTAGAGGTTGATGTTTGACCAAGTGATCCGTCCGACGCTGTGGTCTGGGCTCGGATCAATGATGTGCATCTTTTCCACAACTGTCCTCCAGGGCAGCTGCAACCCCAGGAACCATTAGCGCGGTTCTGCCTCCTCATCCCTCATCTGCCCCTCTTCCCCCCTGCCCCCCTTGGGGGGGAACCTCACAATCTTTCTCGGCTCGTGGCTGCCCCGAGTCCTGGCAAGATCGCCCAGCTCTCCCAGCTGCTTCAGGGTGATTGCCCTGTGGTGGGTCTCTGCTATCCAAGCAGCCCTCTTGCGGTAGCACTCGGGGACCTCGACGGTCTGCGTCCAGTCCACGTCGGATAGCTTGGGCACCTGCGTTGACAACTGCGCCTTCAGCGCCCGCAGTTCCTCGGCCAATGGCTGCGTGGCGGCCTCGACCACCTGCGCCACGGCGCTGAGCCAGGCCTGCTGGGACGTGCCGCCGGCACCTGCGCCCGCCGGCGGGGCAGACCCCCGGCGCAGGCACCTGTGGCCCGCCGCGGGCACGGGGACCGGCGCTGCAGACAGCCCGCGTCCTGGCACTGCGCCGAGCGACGCCCGCGCCACCGCCGCCACGGGGGCCGCCGTGGCCGCTGCCCCCGCCGCCGCAGACGCGGCGGCCCGCGCCTCCTGCGCGCTGGCCCGCGCCTGCGCGGCGGCCATCGCCGCCTCAGCCTCGGCCGCGGAGATCCCCCGCGCCGCCGCCGAGGCCAGCTCGTGCTGCGCTGCCAGGGCGCCCTCTGCGATGCTTGCCGAGGCCCGCGCGGCGGCCTCCTCGAGCGCGGCGACGAGCCTGGCAGCCTGCTCGTCCGAGCTGCGAGTCGACGCGGCGAGCGGCTCCGCCGGCGCGCGCCGATGTACGGTGCGCTCTACCTCGCTCACGGCCTCCTCGAGGGAGCCGTCGTCGAGCCCTCTCTCGAGCAGCCCCCCCACTCGCTCCTTGAGGCTCGACCGCGCGGACGAGGTGGACGAGGCCACGCGGCCCCGAGAGGTCTTCAGGCCGGCCTCCGTGCTGAGGGCTTCCTCCAGGCGGGCCCGCAGCTGCGCTCGCTCGGCGCTCTCCTGGGAGAGCAGCGCCCTTTGGAGGTCCAGATGCTCCTGCTGGAGCCGCAGCCGCGCCTCCAGCGACTCGGTCCGCTGCTGTGACGGCGAGCGTCGGACGGGCGCCTCTGCGTGCTCGGCGCGCGTCTCGACCTGCTCCAGGGAGCCCCGCAGCTGCGCGCACTGCACCGCCTCCTGCCCGAGCTGGAAGGCCTGCATCTCCGCCCGCGCCTGCTGCAGCTGCAGACTGGCCTCGAGAGCCTCGGTCCTCGACTGAGCGGCCTCGACCAGAGCGCAATCCCGCTCCTCGTAGGCGACGGAGGTCTCCTGCAGCACGCCGCACTCCCGGCGCAGGCGCGCCTCCGTCTCCGACAGCCGGTCCACCTCGAAATCCAGAATGCGCCACGCGCCCTCCACCTCGCCCTTCAGGACGCCAGCGGCAAGCGCGGGCGGGATGGCCCGGCGCAGCCGCGTCAAGCGATCGAGGCCGACGTGCTGCTCCATTGCCTCCACCAGCCGCATGCGCGCCGAATCGGCCTGCTCGTCCTGCGCGCCCTGTGGCTGCTGCAAGCCTGACAATTCCGGAGAACGCGCCCCGCTGGCCTTCGGCACGTCTTCGTGCATGCCAGTGCCGAGGCCGGTGTTGGTGGAAGTGCTGTCGGGCTCTGGCGCTTGCGCATTGCTGCGCCTGCTCTGACGCCCACCAGCGCGCGGGGGAGGTGCCATTAGGCGCTGCGTTGCACTGGCCCCATGCCCTGTGCCAGGCTTGTGATCCTCGGCGGGTTGGATCTGGCTGGGGCGCACGAAGATGCCGTGCATTCGCGCGCATGTGAAGTATCGAACGTTTTGCACGGTCCCGTCGTTCTTGCCCACGGGGCCGCTGAGCTCAACCCCGACCCACTCGCCCTCCGCGAACTCCGTCTTGCCGACGAAGCGCACCGTCCCGAACACCGCGGCACTGCCGTGGCCGTGCTGCACGTGGTCGCCGACCCGGAACACCACGGCCTTGGGGAAGGGGAGCCGGCCCACCGCACGGAGGCCGCACGAGACGAGCCCGGCCAACAGGGCGGCGCCGGCGAGCCGCTCCGAGGGGCACGACGCCGGCATCAACGGCACGGCAGCAGCCAGCAGCAGGGCCGCTGTGAGGGCCGCACACCACCCCCTCGCGGCATGGAAGCGGTGCGCGCGCAGGCAGAGCCAGCTCGTGGCGCCCCAGATCGAGCTGCCGGAGCCGCCCTCGACGGACTCGTGGAGGGCCGCGCAGAGGGAGCCGATGATGAAGGCGAACGCGACGACCTCCTCCCTCTCCGCTCCTGCGACGCTGGCAAACACGCCGTGGCCCGAAGCTGCCATCGCCGCTCTCGAGGCGCTCGGGGCAAGCATGTGTTGGCTCGCCCACTGACAGCGGGGAGCACAGAGGCCGCGGCATGGCTGCACAAGGCGTCCTCGGGCCAGGGGAAGTTGAGCTAAAGGCTACGGACCCACCTGCTCGTTGATCCGCGGTGTGAGCAGAGCGCACGTACCCTCGGGAAGCATAGCTCGGCACGCGGGATAAGGCCCACAGGTGCCCAAGCGAAATCAGTGGCAGTCAGGGCGGAAAATCGAGGGCGACGAAACGCCATAGGAGCCGCGCAGAAGATTATGCTGCGACCCGAAAGAGCAAAGGCTTCAAGACGTCCCCTGATGCCTAGAAGATGCCCCTGTAAGTCCCCAGATGAGCCAGAAAGAACGATAAGCCGTCTTCATTCGGGAGCCCGACAGGGCAGAGGTCATGAAATACCACGTGCTGCATTTCTGGGATTGACAAGCTGTTTTTCCTCCAGTTGCTCTTCGATGGCGCCGAAGAGGACCAAGGTGGCCCTGGAACGAGACTCCCCAAAAAGACCCAAGACGACCCACAGAGCCCAGGAGTTTCCCAGAATGGCCCGACTGTGTCGCCCAGTTAATCGGGCCACAAAACAGGCATCGACACGCGCCCGCGCCGTTTTCTGTTTCAGGTTCGCGACCACCTCCAGCACCTGAAGGTTCCCCTGTCTCTCTCTCTCTCTCTCTCTCTCTCTCTTTCTCTTCATATCTTCTCTCTCTCTCTCTCTTGTTTCTCTCTCTTTCTCTTTCTCTCTCTCTCTCTCTCTCCCGTGCGGCTCCATCAGACCCTCGGGGACACCGTCCGCGCATTGTTGGAGCGCGTGCCCCTCCCCGATGACTCTTCCGCTTCGCCCCGCAGGGCCGCCAGCATTCTCGGGGGCGCGGGGCTGTGAAGTTTCATGTGAGCGTTTTTTATTCAGCGTTTCGACAATGGGCGGCAAAGGGGGGGGGGGAGGGGGGGGTCTGGCTCCAGACCTCTGCTTGGTGCGACTGTTTGCAAGAGTGCGTTCTACGGGGGAGGCTCCACCTGCTCGAAACGGGCGCCAAAGACAGCCAAGATCTACTCCGAGGGGGGGGGGAGGGGGGGGGCGAGGGCCCGCGCCGACCGGCAAAACAACGAATACAGAAAACGATCACCGTGCTGGACTGCTGTCTCGTTTTCGCTGCCACGCCTTGTTGCTCGCCTGCGAAGCAGCTGGGGGTGTGGAGGCCCTTCCAGCGCTTTGGCAGGACACCATTTCTTCGGCCACGGCGTGGCGTGTCGCAGTCAGCAAGTATTGCGATGCCACGTGATAGTGGCTATGTGCTCAGTGCTCATGTGTTTTTTGTACTCAGCGTTTGCTTGCTTGCTTGCTTGCTTGCCTTTTTGCTCACGGTCTCGTGTCTGTCCAGTCCTGCCTCCCTTGCAGGTCCAGGCAAGGGGGGCCCGCCGCGCCCCCCAAAACACCGAACTACGCGGCGTGCTGGTCGCTCTCCGTGGCGCCAGGGCCCCCTGCGGGGACGCGGCCGAGGCGGCCGAGAGAGTCCATAGAGGCCTCGAACGCCCCGACCCCGACGAGGGCCTCGAGAGCCCAAGACTGTGGCATTGGGCCCCAATTGGGCGTGACTTAACGGGGGGGGGTCATAAACGGGGGGGTCTGAAACGGTCCCCTTCCGTGCCCCTTTCGGGCCCCTCCGGAGCCCCAGGGGGCTCGTTTAGGTACCGTTTGGGTACCTTTTCGGACCACCCTCGCCACCCCCCCATTTACGATCCCCCCGTTACGCGACGCCCAACCCATGATGCATCAGGCTAGCCCAGGAGGGCCCCGCGACGACTCCGACAGGACAACCAGTGGTGAAAGGCTCGTATCTACACTCTTGGTTCCTGCCCCATGCTCTGCTCTCAGGAAATGCCCATGCCGCTTCCAGACTGCCTCCAGAGCCTCCGAGAATACCCAAAACTGCCACAGGGTGCCGCCGAGGTCGCCCAGGATGGCTCAACACGGCGCCAGGATGGCCCCAAGGTGCACCCATCGGGTCGGGCGAAAGGGGGGGATAGCAAAGGGGGGGTTTGAGAATCAGCTCACGCAGCTGATTTTCCCGGCGCCTCCCGGCGCCGGGAGGCGCCCATGTATCGAGGAATGGGCCCGACGGCGGGGCCGAAACCAGCTGCATGCAGCAGATTTCGTAACCCCCCCTTTCCCAAACCCCCCCTTTCGCCCGACCCGAACCCAGCAGGCCCCCAAGATGCCCGGCTGGTGCCAAAGGTGGCCCGAGAGTTCCTGGCATGCGCTCCAGGGGCGCCAAGGCGGCCAGAGGCGCGAGGAGGAGGAGGAGGAGGAGGAGGAGGAGGAGGAGGAGGAGGAGGAGGAGGAGGAG